GTCACGCTGATCCCGGTGCCTGGAGGCCTCTTGGCTCCGCTGATCCCGGTGCTGGGAGGCATATTACCCTTTTACTATACAGGATAGAGGCCTGGTGCATGGATGGGGCTGGCTGGTTTTCCCTGAAGGGTGTCCTGGATCAGGGTGGAGGTCCCCACTGGGGTGCCTGGACAGCCTGGGTGAGGGGATGATGGCTGTTTGCAGCTGGTCACACACCATTCAGGGTGGGGGTCCCCACTTGGTTGCTTAGCCAGCCTGGGTGAGGGGATGATGGCTGTTTGCAGCTGGTCACACCCCCTCCAGTGTGGGTGTCCCCACTGGGGTGCCTGGCCAGTCTGGGTGAGCGGCTGAGGGCTGTTTTTAGGCTGCTGACTGAAGTACCAACTGCTCCTTTTTTCTTTTTCTTTTTTTTCATTCTGGGCCAGCTTTAGCTCTGGCTCCAGCTCTGAGGCTTCCAGCTTTAGCTCTGGCTCCAGCTCTAAAAGCAGGTATCTGGGATTTATTTATCTTCTATAATTAAAACTTTGTAGCTCTGAGCAGAGGCCAGGGATGGCCAAGGTGGGCAGGAAGCTTGGCTTCGTCCTTTGCTCAGGGCAACCCAAGCCTCCTGCTCTCTCCAGCTCTGTGGCTGCCGCCATCTTGGTTGGGTTAATTTGCATGCTCACTCCTGATTGGCTGGTGGGCATGGCTCATGGGTGTAGGGGAGTGACACCAATTTGCATGTTTCTCTTTTATTAGTGTAGATATAGTCCCATTCATTTATTTTTGCCTTTACTTCCATTACCTTTGGGGTCAAGTTCATAAAATGTTCTCTATGATCAAGATCCATAGGTTTGGTACGTATATTTTCTTCTAAGTAACTTATTGTTTCAGATTTTATATTTAAGTCTTTGATCCATTTTGAATTAATTTTTGTACATGGGGACATATTATAATACTGTTTTATTTGTTTGCATGTGGCTTTTCAGTTTTCCCAGCACCATTTATTGAAGAGTCTATCTTTACTCCATCGTGTTTCTGGCTCCTATGTCAACAATTGTCTGTTCATATACATATCGTTTTATAGCTGGATTTTCTATTCTGTCCTGTTGATCTGTGTGTCTGTTTCTCTTCCAATATCATGCTATTTTCATTATCATAGCTCTATAGTAAAATTTGAAGTCAGGTAGTATGATACCTCCAGCTTCATTCTCTTTTATCAGTATCGTTTTTGCTCTTTGGGGTCTTTCTGGTTCCATACAAAGCTGATGATTTCTCATTCTATTTTTAAAAAAATGGCATTGGGATTTTGATGGGGATTCCATTAAAACTACATATATTACTTAGGATAATATGGCCATTTTAACTAGATTGATTTTTTTTCAATCCATTAACATGGAATATTTTCCCATTTTGATGTATCTTTTTCAATCTATTAATAATGTTTGTGGTTTGGGGCATACTATAGGTCTTTCACATCCTTTGTGAAGTTTATTCCTAGCTATTTTATTCTTTTGGTTGCAATTACAAAATGAATTATAATTTTCATTTCTTTTCTGAAGTTTTGTTGTTGGTATACAGGAAGGGAATGGATTTTTGCACATTGATTTTGTATCCTGTAACTTGTCTATATTTTTATTGTTTCTAATAGTTTTTTTTTGTGTGTGTAGAGTTTTTATGGTTTTCTGTATGCAGAATCATGTCTTCCACAAAATATGACAGTTTGATTTCTTTCTTCTGTATTTGGATACCTTATATTTCTTTCTCCTGCCTTTTTGCTCTGGCTAGGACTTTCAGCACTAGGTTGAATAAGAGTGGGGAGAGTGGCTTCCTTGTCTTATTCCTGGTCTTAGAGGGAAAAAAAGTCCTTTATCATTGAGTATGATGTTAGCTGAGGATTTATCATATATAGTCTTTATCATGTTGAGGTACTTTCCATCTATTTCCTCTTTTTTTTAATTGTTTTATTGCTTAAAGTATTACAAAGAGTCATCTATTCCTCTTTTTATTGAGTATTTTAATCATAAATGGATGTTGTATCTTATCAAATGCTTTTCCCACATCTATTGATAAGATCATATGATTTTATCCTTTATTTTATTAATATGGTGTGTGATATTAATTGATTTACATATGTTGAACCATCCTTGTGTCCCTGGAATGAACCCCACTTAATTGTGGTGTATTATTTTTTGAAAGACTGTTATATTTGATTTGCTTGTAATATGTTTAGGATTTTTGCATCAGTATTAATCAGATATATTGGTCTGTGGGTTTTTTTGTGTGTGTGTTTATTCTTGCCAGGTTTTGTTATCAGAGTTATATTGACCTCATAAAATATATTAGGAAGTATTGCCTCTTCTTGAATTTTTAGGTGAGCTTGAGTAAGATAGTTTTTTTTGTTATTTTTAAATAAAATTCACATTTTATTTATGTCAAAATAAACTGTACAAAATTGACTTTCTTCACCAAAAATAACAGCAATATTTTCTGTATTATTTATAGATAAACCACAAAATACATTTTTGTAGGTTTTCCAGGTGTTGCTTATAAACCAAGATGAGGCAGTAGATATAATCATGGAAAAAGACAGAATAAAAGAGACAAATTTGTTGTCAGTATCCATGGATTCTGATCCTGTCTTGACCATGAAACAGAAGTGTTCAACATATACTTGCTAAAAAGCTTATGAATAAATAGGCTCAACAAAGAAATGTAAACAGCAATATCCAGATGTGGAACAATGGCAGGTTCTTCCTTCAATTTTCAATAGTAACTTGTTTCTTTAAGATCATCAAATAAAGACAAAATCTACACTGAAATCCTTGTTTGACAAGCTCACATTTCTTTCACTATCTGGTAATTCCCTTAACTGGTCATTACAGATTTTTAATAGTATACTTAAAACTCCTGCTATTCAAATGTTAGTCATGAGCTTCACTGTAAAATTTTATGAAACCTATTCCTTCCTCCCACAACTCCTCAAAATTTATTTCTTCAAAGAACCGATAACGCAATACCTGACAGCTGGATCCACGGTGATAATAAATGTTACGTTTAAAATGATTTAACTAGAATAATTCCAAAGTGCCGTCAACATAGTCCATGGTCGGCAAACTGCGGCTCACGAGCCACATGTGGCTCTTTGGCCCCTTGAGTGTGGCTCTTCCTAAGCCTTAGGCGTACCCTAATTAAGTTAATAACAATGTACCTACCTATATAGTTTAAGTTTAAAAAATTTGGCTCTGAAAAGAAATTTCAATCGTTGTACTGTTGATAGTTGGCTCTGTTGACTAATGAGTTTGCCGACCACTGGCCATGAAGAAATGCAACATGGCACTTTCACTGCTACCTTCTGGAAGAATAGTTAGTTCTCCAAAGCATGAGAGTTCAAACAGGGGCAATTTAAACAGTCAGATTATCAATGGCTAATGTACTCAAGATAGTCAGTGATTAAGTTCAGGTATTTTCAATAGTTTCAGAATTATCTGTAGGAAGCTCTGGCTTAGTTGTATAGAGTTTGATATATGTGTACACCATTAAATCCAAATCATGTTTTACATCAAAATTTGTGTTAAAAAGCTACTAATAAGTTACTTGGCCTTTGGTCTGTAAAAGTTTTCCTCAGGTATGCTTTGAGATGCTTTTGCCTATTCCATAGCACTCATTCTCAACCTTCATCACAGGAAGAATACATAGGACCTTCAGCAATGCATAAACATTAGGAAAAAACTTGATCCCTGGCAGGTGGAGGGCTTCATAAATGGTGTATGGAAGCTCTATATCTTTTCTTCTGTGTTTCCACTTGATTCTCCAACAACGCAGCTCAGCTGAGAGTGTATCAGGATTGGGTAAGTTGCTTCTGTACATTTCAGCATGGTGCTCCTCCAATGCATTGAATTTGAGCTGTCCCATGACAGAGGGTACCAGAGATGAGCATTTAAGAGCTTTGAGGTGCTGAATAATGTGTTCTTTCAGTTCCTGAATAATGTGACCATCTGTTGGAACACTTATAGCTTCTTTATAGTAACTCTCAGAGGCTAGCTGAGATTCCAGGTTCCCTTGCTGATCTCTGTGGAATTTCCCAGGGAGCTTCATCTGAATGTCAAATCTGGTTGCCAAATTGGTGGCTTACTCAAACCAAAATTCATAATAAACTTCAATATTTTCCATCACTTCATTTAGTGAATGCAGCACCACAGTCAAGCTACCGGCTGCAAAGAAGACACCAGAAGTCTGTCCCTGGAGATTCTCCCCAAAGGCTCTTGTAAAAGATAGAACATTTTTAAGAATGACAATGGTAACAACGAAATCAAAATCTGTTACTGCACTACAGAGTACAAATGCTCGGCCCGCTATACAGTTATTCCATCTAATATTTGTATCATTATTTATACCATCTAAACATAAAACAAGTGCTTGTAGGAGGTCCACTAAAATTTCAAAAGCATCATGCCTGCCTGTCCATCAAGAATGGCAAATTGCCAAAACCAGTTTGGCTCAGTGGATAGAGCGTCGGCCTGCGGACCAGGGGGTCCTGGGTTCGATTCCGGTCAAGGGCATGTGCCTGGGTTGCTGGCACATCCCCAGTGGGAGATGTGCGGGAGGCAGCTGATCGATGTTTCTCTCTCATCGATGTTTCTAACTGTCTGTCTCTCTCCCTTCCTCTCTGTGAAAAATCAATAAAAAATATTTTAAAAAAAAAGAATGGCAAATTTACTTCAATTCTTTACCCCTTCCTTTATTGTTCTGAAGAAGGACTGAAATTAACTTGTCAAGCTCTAAAAGCAATTCTGATGACCAATAGAAAAAAGAACAAACTTCCTCATTGTCCCTAAGACAACAGACACTCCCATAACAGGCACCGATTTGACCAACCACATTTTTAAGGCAGAGGAAGAGCAGAGTGTGTAGACAGCTTGGGGATATTTTTCCAAAAGTCTAGGAGCAACAATTTTCATTCTGGAAGAAAATCCACTGTATACAATGTAACCTGGCCATGACAATATTCCAAGTTTAATCCCTACTTCTCAATTATCATAGTGTGAAGTTTCATAGCAAAATTTCAACATTGGCTTTATAAGGCAGGAAACCCACAAATTCTTCTCTCAGGTTATGAGCTTCATCAACAAACCTCACCAACACAGGCAAGTGTTCTTTCCCTCCCATGTCGACTATGTCCTCAGTGATAATCAAAAAGAAGTGAGAGTCTCTCACTTCCCTGAGCATTTCTTCCTGGATACAGCTCTCACATATTTCTAGCATCTGTTTCTGCTGTGCTTTTGAAAGAAGGGTGTGTTGACTGCTGTTGTCTCAAAGAGATTTCTCAGAAACTCTTCACCAGAATTTATCTGGCACTCCAACAGTGCCTGAAAGTTATCAGGAGTAAAGAGACCTTCTGGGATTTCATCAACTTCATGTTCATTTAGAGGTCTGTTTTGTTTTTTCATAAGAATCAAAATTTCAAATAAAGATTTTGAGTATTTTTTGTTTTCCTTCTCTTCAAGGATTAAAGGTAAATGTCTTCATCCTGTTCTTCACCCCCTTCTGCACTGGAATTCTGAGCATTGCTGTTGTTGATTTCTTTATGTTTTTGTTCCTGTTAGT